GAATACMAAGCGCGTTCACGAGAATTCTAAAGTTCTGATTAGAACCTCACGTAGACCTGGTAGGGAATCTACATGGGGGTTCTCTATTCCGAACTTGTGACATCTCTATTCTTCGTGAGGTATTCTCGAATAGTATCTTAGACCTCTTACGATCATCAACATGATGGATCGTATGATCTATATATAAGAATAGTATATTATGATAGDTACGTAGGAATGGTATGATCCTTCATTCCTTTCTTCGGAGCTTCGTATCGTATTGTACGTATCCTTCTAATACAGTACGTACGTATCCGTTGCATTCTTCTATTGGTCATTCTTGTTCAAAAGAGGTGCACCCGACCATTGTCAATGCAAACTTTAGTCCCCCGTGTTAATACAGTGTATTTTCAAGTGAAAAATAAAAATAATTTTTATTCATGTGCATGCACATTTTTAGTTCTCAGTACTGATTATACGTGTTCTACACAGTCATACACAGTCATTTGTGGAATCCAACCGCCAAAAACTCAAAAAAACTGTTAAGTAATACTGACCCATTATTAATGGACAAATTGAGTCCTGCATATTGTCCTATTATTGTGGGACGGAGGTAGTACTATTTTTTTGTCGAGAACCTTTTCTGGCTTGTTGATTACTCTGTGCACCAAAAATTTGAAAAAACTCATTCTAGTAAATCAACCTCCAGCATAGGAACCTGTCACCCCTCCAGTTCAACACCTTAGCTTCCACCACCAACAAAGCAATCCATATACAAAATCCATCAATTATTACGAGGGGAAAGTGATCCAGATTTTGTGGATAAAGTGACCAAGTGGTTTACAAGAAACAGTAGATCTAAGCAGCAGCAAGAAATCATCTTGAAATGGCAAAAAAAAGCTCAACTGCATCCTTTAAAACAAAGACATTATTTGCTTCCTCCAAATCAAACAAGTACCTCATTCTACTCAATAATAAGTGGGAGGGGGTCAAGAAGTTGCAGATCAATTGCCCAAGTATTTTGAAAAATGCATTCTTTCTGTCATCATCCTCAACAACAACAAGAAGAACAACAAGAAGAACAACAAGAAGAACAACAAGAA